TGTGTGTGTGTGTGTGTGAATATCGCTTTGATATCCGGGTTCATTCAGTTTGTGCCAATTTTGGTGTGTGAACACAAAACAATCTTTCTAGCTATCCATACCATCAACAAGCGGTATCTTCCGCATCATGCAAAAAAACACCCGTGCGCTTCGATCTACCACCATCTATAAATGCACTCGGAATTTCTATTTGCTGATCAATCAATAAATCAAAATGTCGTTCCTGCTTTCATCCCATCAATTACAACTATATCTTCTGATTTGGTTTTCGGGAACCAAAGAGTAAACTACAGCTTCAGTTACCTGCATTTTCTCCCCAGGTGAGTTTAGAAAATTTTATTCCTTTTTGGGTACAAAAAATCATATACTATCACTCAGAATGTTTCCTTTTTATTTAATCCGAACTAAGGTCTTCAACGGACGGATGGTGTAATAACTCAGTAGCAATAAACAACTTGTTTGAAATGGGTTGAATTAAGTACTGTCAAAATAGCTTCCATCGTTTCCTGTTTGGTTTACACTTTTCTTCACACTGGTTTTCCATCCGGGAGCGTGGCCAAATAACTACCGTTCATTGCCTCTTATTTCTAATCTATAAAGTCCGGCAATTTGAATTTTCAACTAAAACTGGTATTACAACGCATACATAAATGGTGATACTTGACAGCATTATTTTACCGATCACTTACAGGCAGATATAATGCATTCTTACTCATAAGCCACCGCAGTGCCCCTGGTTACATGTCAAACCCAATGGGATTTGTTCTTCGTTGATATCAGTTGTAAATTTCAAGTGGTAGCTACACTATAACAGAAGGGTTCCACATGAATGACCAAAGAAAGGGTAACAAAACTTTACTGATTTGGATTTTAGAAGATAAGAATATGTTTGATTATGTTTCTACTATCAATCGATTACACTATTCTAGTTGACCAATGAGAGTCATAGTCACAAGACGTCCATTGTTCCATCGAAAGTGAACCTAATTTCATCGACACTAATTTTGTTTTCCTTCAGGATATACAGCAATTTTGTGCTCTCCTTAACTGTCGTTTGTCTAAACTATTGTTTCATAAATTTTCTGCAATCCTTTTATTAAGTCCCTAAACTTAGCCCTGCCGGATTACCGTGTATATGAACTGTACGAAAAACCTCACAAGCTTCTTATCATGAGTTAGGTTTTTGTCCAGTTTAGAAATGCATTTGACAGTGACAAATGGAAATATTTTCAGTTGCATTGCGACAAGTGTCCCTAATTTCCGTTCCTGTTTTGAATGAAATCATAAGTTAATCAGATCACAGTTTGTTCACTATCTCATCGTTCATTTCACATATCTGGTTTGCACAAAAGGCATCTCATTTCATCCAGGTATTCTAAAAAGGTTTTTCATCAAGTGAAATTGCGTTCTTGCTAATCTGTTCATTCTTACTTTTGATTTTCCGCGATCAAAACATTACTGTTTTTAAAACCTTGTTAACTTCTGGAATAGAAAATAAACTACTTGTTCCCAGCTTGGGAAACCAGCCTTCATTTTACTTTCTTTTTCCTAAGAGACTAGCTTTAATGATATAAAAAACTGTTCAAACAACTCTGAAAGTTCCTTATTTAAATGCTGCTGCAAACAGTGGGTGGTTTATACAACGGTTCATTTGATTTTGTTCTCCAACGAGAATGCTCCAAACCAGCTGCAATATCATAACTAGTGGTTCCCTAATGTCTCACTGACTGCAACAAAGACAGAGGTCAGTATGCGTTATTATACGACCAGAGTGATCGATTCCAGGTTTGATCGCCTAGCTTTTTTTGACCAGTGATTGTTTTTGGGACACAATCCGATTTTCGAGTTCACCTACCGATGGTCTATAATACAGTAAACTTAAAACCGGCTATGAATGCTACCCGGAAGTGTATGTGAGTTGCCCACGGGTTTGGAGTCGGGGGCCAAAAGGATAAGGTCGTCTAAACACCGGTCTGAAGGTCAAGAGTTCGAATTCTCTCACTTCCACCCATCTTACCCCCAAGCGTTTTTTGGCGGACTGACCCCCCTTCCTGAAAATTGATTGATCATTTGTATGATTTATAAATAATGAGCAAGTCAAAGCGTTATTATTACTGTTACTACATCTATGATATTTAAGTCCTCGTCGAAAAAATGAAAACAATTAGTTCGTAGGATAATAATCAGGATAATAATTGCTTAAACTTCATTATTGAACAAAGCTAGTTCATCTTATTAAGTGGCTCCGTGCATAGGAATATAATGCAGTTTGATGGTAACCTCAATTTTCAAATAACTACTTTATATCAACTGAGACAAATCCTATCAAAAGGAAGGCGGTTGCGACCATTTCAGATGGTTTTCATAAGTGCTTTGTTAAGTATCCCAGGCAATTTTTGAGAGATTATCCAGGAAGGCTGCAAACCTTCCCGGGTTGTCTAGGTCTTTGGTCCGTTAAGTCAGGCATACGTCTTTTACGTCCCCGGTTGGAACTCTACCTGAGAACAAAGAGAAAGCGGACAAGCGTTGCTACTTGGACAGCTATATCTTACCTGGAGGATGAATCTCGGATGAATGTCGGCAGACAGAAGGTTCGGTTGGCGTTTGCCAACTTGAGACACCTTTGAGACCGTCGCGACATCCGGCTGTCTGTAAACATTTGAGTGTATGCTGCAGCTGTCCAGTCGGTGCTGCTATGTAACGCAGACTTGACCGATACGGAAACACGATAAAGACAGACTATCGTTGCTTGAACTCCGCTGCCCATATCGTATTGCATGAGTCTGGTGGGGCAACCAAACAATCAATGCCTGAGTTAGACGCAGAGTTTCAGGGAATCGTGATCCGCTAGTGGATTAAGTGCTCGACCTCCATTGATTATGATGACTGGGGCATGTGTAACTCATGTCACCAGCTCAGACTCATCGACTTGCAAGGTTTGTCGAGGCAGGATTGGAATGGAGGAAGGATAAGGTTGGCCAAATCGAGATCTGGTATGAGGGTATACAAACCCGAACCAGGGCAGTCGGTAAGAGAGGTTTCTGTTGGTTTCCTGGTTTGACATCTCGTGATCAATCTAATCGATGGCTAAACAACGCTAAGTGAAGTGGATGAGTGTCTCGAGCAATGGAGCTCTTGAATTTGCGCACTTCTCCCCAAAAATCTATTGCACTTACTTTGCATACCTTTATTTTGAAAGTGCGCTTCTCTTCAAACTCTTCTTATCAGTCCTTCCACGTTAGCTAATATAGTGGGCAACCGAAAGACAGTAAACAAAAGCATGTCACGGTAGACAAGAGGCTATCGCTAAGGTGTAGAATATTCACGAGATTCAACTAAGGAAGCCATTTAGCGTCCGCTTTTAATAAATTTCCAAAGATTATTGAGAGGACTTATATATGGAATTTTATATGGTGTTTATTGCTGTTCCCACAAGGCGTTTTTGTTTTCTCACTCCCGCTATTTCATCCAGTATATTTTGAGATTTCCCAGGATTATTTCAAAGCAATTAACCGGTGTTTTCTATGCAAAAGATGATGTCCGAAGGACTAATCCGATGGCGTATTTTAATTCAGATTTCTCCAAATAGCTTCACAAAACCATGCTTATTCCCCCACTTACCGTGGACCAATCACCTCTGTGCCAGTACGGACAGCCTTCAGAGAGCAAACAGAGACGCTTTGTAACTGGCTGTGGTACCACTGCGTGACAACGTTCTGCGTCCACATCCACCGATTGTATCGATCGATGCATTCGTATACGGTGTCGTGCCTCGGACACGGAAAACAATAGCGCTTGAGATGGATCTTCTTTGGAGTGGACTGATCCTGCATGACCGCGATTTGGCAGCACATCAAGGACACAGCGTACGTTGCGTCGTTGGATCCCGTACTCACAAGTGCCTTCACACTGAACAGTGCAGATGAAGGGATTGTGAAGCACCAAGACGGATAGGAGTGGGGTGGAGAACATGATAAAATTGTGTGGGCGCTGAAAGTTGGCTGAGTGATTTGTGATCTTCAGCTACTTCATATTATCAATTATTGATTTTTTAAAGACACTGTTCCAGTCTACTACATCTTGATTCTGCTGCTTAATAATATTGAATGATATATTTATCAGAATTTATGAAATTTCCATCCTTTTTCGAGTTTTATTGCATCATATAAATTTTGGGAGTGAATCTGGGAAAATCCATACGAAGCAGTGCCGCCTAGTATATTTAATTACTCAAAGTAATGCTCCATCACTACTTATTCTGCCAACCGAAGTGAGTTCATTGACCTATATAACTTAACCTATATAACTATATAACTTAAACGGGTTATTGCAATTTACTCTCAGATGTTGAAATTCTGGCCCAGTGAAATTTAGGTGAGAGGAATCTTTAATCTTGCTAATGGATCACCGAAATACATACATAACTTATGATAACCTTGCAGCAGCGCTGCATGCCCTGTAGCATACATCAGATTTGAGCCTCGGAGGTCTGTTGGTACCTATGATGTGAGCAATAGTTCATGCTTATCTAAAACAAGCCGACTATGATTCTCTTAGTGAATCCTAAATCAATGGTACCAACTAACACAAAGATGCCATCTTCAAACACAAAATGTATCAGTGCTCCTAAGACCTCAAATGACAGTTCCTGTGGAGGGCACATTCGCTTCAATTTCATTTCCCAAATAGCTGCTGGTTAATTATATTAGATTACCGGTACTGGTATTCTCTACGATATAACAGAAACACAATTTATTTCAAATCAAATGAAATGTAAGAGAAGAAGATCCAGTTTACTTACGAGTAAAAGAACAGTTGTGAACTAGATGTACCGTTTCATCTATGAGTTTCACCCTAAAGCACTTCGTTTGGGCTCCTACGTTTTCTTTGTCAAGACAATGCGTTCAACCTCAAGTCACCGTAAAGCTAATGTGTCCGTTCCAAAATTTCGAACACTGGCTGTATAGGACAAAGTTGATATCCTTATTTCCTTATCCAGAGGGTAGGATAAAGTAAATATTGATTTTTAACCTGACGTAAACTGTTTTGCGTGGCAAATAAAGCCTAATGATTAAACGTGTTCTACACTGCGTTTTTAATCGTTGCCTACCATTGGGCAAAACAAACACTAGAGGAAGAATAATTTGTTCCCTACATTCCAGAGAGAAAAGTAGTCTGAATTCCCGGGACTTTCCGCTGACCTAATCAGTTGAGATTCATTCATCAACACTTCGAATAACACCAAGAGCTGGTCGCGACTAACTTTCAACAATTCGGATCTATAACTCGGTAATCCTGATGAATTACCTGGGTGATCTGTTCTGTACGCAAGCAGCTTCACCAGATAACAGTATCGGTATATTCATTGATTAATAGAGACAGACCTGGGGGGAGGGGCAATCATGTTTGTTTCGTGTTGAATAAAATGCTTTGCTTAAATGAAGGAGCCAAAAGAACCGCCAGAAAACAAAAGATTAGTAAGGCAAAACTCTGAGGCCGAATGAATGCAGGCGAGAGTTGATACGAGAACTATGTGATACTTAGCAGACCCAACCGAATTCGCATTGATTTCTGGCTCACATTTCACTAAGAACAGTTGAAAATAGCTACTGAGGTCATGCAACACCTGTGATTCCTGTAAGTAGCACTCGATGATAAGCGCGACGCTGGTCTTTGCGTTTCACAAAACCGCCAGACAGCATGTGATTGAATACAGCCCCTTCCTTGAAATGAATTGCGGTATTATACATTCAATATAGGAAGTAACTTAAACAAGGTGATTCAGGAAAAGGAACAAGATTAGTGGAAGGTTGTCAAGTTGTAGGTTAGGTGACGGTGGCTGATGCCATACAAACGGACTTTTGTCTTGCTGTCTACAAGGCTCAAACACCGTTGCCCGCTTTGAAAGACATGCATCTTGTATTGGAATTCCACGTTGATGATTAGGGGTATCGGAAAAAGTTCTCAGCCGCCAGAAGGTTCAATAATACAAATGGCACTTCGGCAATCGAGTTAAACGCATTTAGGTGAAAAAATGACTGTCAACTGTTCCACTAATGCGATTAGGAAAAACGAAATGAGGATATAACGAAATGAGATTGATGAACTGCTTGAGATCCTGAGAATGAATAGCGGTGTTTGGTTCGGAGCGAAATAATGTTGTCATTTGGCTGTTATGTCAATTAAGAGCATGATAATTGAAGTGCCCCAAATAAACTCTAAGATAAATTGGCTTTCATCACAGATATCACTACAAAGCGAAACCAGAAGGATTGCTTTAGTTTTTAATGATGCTGTCCAGTGGGTAACAGTAGTATGTAAACTGAATTACTCGTCTAATTACTAGAGCATAAAAAAACTGTTGCCTGTTGGAATCTCTGAATATCAAATTGCAGTCTTCTATAAATCTGTTTCTAAGTCTTAGTTCTATCTTTATGCTACAAGCTGCAAACGATCACAACGGGTAGCATTTTGCTTGTATGCAGTCAAACAAATATGAAACATCATTAAATATTGACTACTTACAGGTCCCCACTCCTCGGGCACCCATTGCGGACAAGAACCTTCAAAGCACGCTTCTTCTTCGTTTGGCTTCGGGAGTTTCCTTTCATGACACAGTTTTGGATCAGCCACCTCTGTTTTCAGCCTGCTCACAGTAATCACTGTTGCAAACGCTTCCAGGCGCCCACTGGCCCCGTTTGCATTTGGTGTTCTACTGTCCGGACTCTGTTCCTGGGTTTCCAATATACAAATAGCTTGCCGCCTTCTCACCCCAGTTCCACATGGCACCGAACACTGATCGAAAGAGAATATGGACAAAAAGGAGACATCAAATAGACAACTGCGCGTTAAAATAGAGGAGCGTTAGCAAAAAACAATAATCGAAAGTTGAAAAACATTGTTTGAGGTTTAAAGTGGATTAAATAGTACTAAATGTTTTAATGCAATTGTAATTTGTTTGTTTCATTATTTGAAATGTGAACAAGTAGCTGAGTAAGACATATTATTTATGCTGTTCTCAAAGAGAATGTATACAATTTTATGTTGAAAGTTGGTAAAGCACTGAAGGCTGATTTTGCTGCACCCACCAGCAATACATATTTCTAGATAAACTTTCCAAAGTGCACATTTCAGATAGAAGACAATGATCAGATTTAAGAGTAACAACTTGGATTATCAGTTAATAATCGATAAGAAAATCCGTAAATATGAAACTTGAGCTAGGATTTTTGTTTTGAGCTTGCTGCGAAGTTTGTCGCACATTCGCTGCGAAACACACTGATTTAATTGGTGTACGTAAAACTTGGAAGCCGATAAGCCAATCATATTTAGGATAAAGTGTTACATAAGATACGTTACCTTACTTTTTCTAACCGGCCATAAATTAGCCTGTCCGCAAAAGATGTGTAAGTGCTAATTGGCTCAGAAATGAGCTTGCTCGTTACGAACGCACTCACTGCTGAAGTCAGAGACACCACAAATTACGGCCACAGCGGATCTTCACACCTACACGAAGAGAAAGCCAAATCCGTATCGAGCTCGTTTTTAACACGTCTGTCCGGTTGTGACATTGTTTAACGTCGACGAAAGAGTTGTTGACCATCAGGTATTTCATAACTGACATGCCTGCCTGTTGAAACCAAATCAGGACCCAACCTTACTCATCACCCTGGTGTCTACTTACATACAGTGAATCATTAGTACCGCATGACTAGGTCCAATTAGGAGATACGTCAGCTGTAGTCGGCAAGGTGACAGGCAATGTTTATATGTGTTGCATATCGTCTGGCCAACAGTCATCTCCAAGTGCACTTGATACACCATTTACCGTGTCTGTTTGTCTAATTGCACACAAATGTTGTGAATGTATGAGTCATCAGTCGTGAAGGTGCAACGGAGCCCTGTGTGTGTGGGGGGGAGAGTTAAATTTACGGAAGCCAAGCTGCAAGCAGCTGAGCAAGGCCAGATGTTAATGACAACGTTTGTATTAAAATGAAATCAGCATCCACGTTTCCCAGCTTCGAATAAATGGCTAATTATAATGTGCCCCAATACCCAACTGGCGTGTATCTCTGGGGAACTGAAAATGAAATTTATTCATTTACGAACAGAGCACCGCACGTGGGGGCACTCTCTCATTGCGGAAACTTCAGTCAGTTGGTCTTCCGTTAGTCTACCGACTCTCGCGTAGGTCAGCAACACTCTGGAATTCCTCTCCAGCGATTATGGTGGAAGAGAAGACAGACGCTGCTTTCAAACGGCGTCTGGATGAGCACCTGAAGGGGCTATGCAGGAACGAACACTTGTGATAGGACCTTCGACCCAGTGGTGATGGGGCTTACACGGGCACCCTGCCCTCTACCCTCAATCCTGAAGAATGAGTTACTGAAAGGTGTCATCTGTTAAGTTAGCCTCTTTTAATGGAAACACATGCAAAAATGGGGTGAATACCTCCGAGAGTCAACTTATACTACCCTTTTATGTATGACAACTGTTAAAAACAAAATTCGACTTCAGAAAAAATATAGTTTTATGCTAACCACCTACAGAGGTGTAGACCTCAAACTGGCCCACAGATATTAGATGTGAAGAATCCATGGTAATCTATTTCTATTGAGGAATTATTCGGAAGTATAAACCCCTTACTTTCAGTTTTATTACAAGTATTTACGCCGTCCTGGAGGGTAGAAATGTATCAGGACATGCCCTTTCGTGGTCGGGATCTTTGGAGAATTATAAATTTTTTTTCAGAAATCAGGCAAATTTCCTACTATTGAAAAGATGCCATGCATAGTCTGAACGAATCTCAATAAATCAATCAAGGACTATGCTCATTGCCACCCACAGTGATAGTGGGTTTGTAATTAGCTACAAAAAGAAAAACCACAAATTAGGGACTATGTTTCAACCTGTGCGTAAGAATAGAACAAATGGTATGCAAGACTTAAGTTTGACAGATTTCTTAGGATAAACGCCTTATAATATGGCCTGTAAATTGTACGGACGCGAGGCGGTTGGTTCAAACGATCTGTCTTTCCCTTTTACTGGAATCATCAGTGACATAATGTGCCAATCTAGGTTGGCTATGGGGAATGGGAAATTTATAACCGTTCTGTGTATGAATTCTCCCAAAACGGAGTTATTATGAGTCGTTTCGCTCTGAGGGAACACCGACTAGTTGTTCTTGTTTATAACTGGATGAAAAAAATATATCAAACAGCTTTCCCAGATAAAATGTTTTTGGCAGCAGTTGCCGAATATACGGCAGTTCATCATCTAACGTGTCTCCCGACCAGCTTCATATTAGATGACATTTGAACCTCTAAGTGACGTGACTATAAAGGTTAATATATTGACCATTCCATGATTTGCTTCTTCTTATCTATCTTCTAACTGATGTGTCTCATCTATTAAACGTGACCTAGAGTACTTTGCTGACTACAATGTAAACGATTTACAACTATGTTATTGATGCATCGCACAAAAGATATCATCCATATATCTACGGTAGTGATGTATTCCTTTGATTGTCGAAATTATTGTCCTCGTTTTTAGCTCAGTAACACAACTATTAGCTATCAAAGAACCCAGTGAAAATCCGATTGCAACTCCATCCATCTTACGGAAAACGGTACCAGAGACCATACCTGAAGTATGCTTGCCAGATGACTGGGTACCATGCTGCTGCGTGATATAGTGAATTCTGCATTGCTAAAATAAATTATCTGAAATTCTTTCATTATAGATTTTAAGGGGAAAATAAGATTTTGGGATTGTTCATCTATGTGGTTTTGGTAGGCGGTGGTGTTGTCTATGCACCCCTGTCTACTTAGCATCTTTTGTAGATCTGTGATTCTACCTTTCACCTTTTCTGTTTTATCCTTTGTTTTTTACCTGCCTATAATTGGTTATGATCTGCAAAGGATTCATACAGTTTTCAAACTTCGTTTTTATATACAACTCTCAGGACATTGGGGGTTCCTCCAAAGCATTAATATACTGAAACGAAATGGGACCATGATTGTATGCTTTAAGCTGCCGGACAACCGTGTAACTCTACGGGAATTTCGTAAAAATTCATCTCGATTTATGGAGCGCACAGGCACGAGATACGAGTCTGATCAATTCCAATGGGTTTTCCCTTGGAAAATATACCACAGTTTGATTCTAGAAGTAGTTCAATTTAAATTTGTTTAAAAATACTGTGAATCACAAATAATAAAAACATGTTTTCTGAGAGTTGCACTGTTAGAATGCATGTGACCTCATCACAGTTGTTCCCAAAATCCGCTGGGGTATTCGGCCTTAGCCCGAGAACGAGTGGTTTACGCTGTCCCACTGTATGTGAAGACTGTGACAAGACACAATGTCATGTGACCCAAGCGGACAAAGGTTAAATTGTCTAACAACGTAACCATTCATCCACGCGCTCTTGCACAAAAACAATTTCGCGCCCAGTTCAGTATTAAATACTAACACCTGCCTCAGATTATCGACCAGCCCACGAATATCATTATGTAAACAATTCCAAGCTTGAAACTTTGAGTCTCGTTTACCCGATTCGTACCAACAGAGAGAGGACAAAGACCACCACAAGTTAACACTTCTTGTAATCCTCTCAATCTTCAGAATCCAAACTAATCATATTTTTATATAAGCCCGTATTAAAATCTCATAGTCTGCGTCTTCTCCCTGATCGAATATTTTCACTATAAGATCCGCAAGAGGACGATAAAGGATCAGTGAAATCAAGTTTGTTCACCTACTCTTTTCAATGTATCGATAATCCGAAATTCCTAAATTTCAGGAAACAACGGAAATCGTGACTGCGCGTATATCCATTTGTTATAGTGTGTGAAGTTCCAATAAATGTTTTTAACGATTTCTGAAGTGGAATAGTGTTGTAAAAGGAACATAGTGCGTCTCTTAGTTCAAAACTCAAGACACTGGCTCAGAACTATGCTCCGACAGAAGTTTTATCAGGACCGATTCTGGCATCTTTTGTAACCACTGGATTTTCCGACATACTTTATGCACTATTTCAATCCGTGATTTATTTACAAATTTACCTGCCCAATAATGAAGTATGTGGTAAGGTGGTCTCTTGAATGAAAAACTTTCCAATGCTTTCGGTTTCATCATTTTCAACATCAAGTAATAATGTACAGTGATTTTTCCTCGATTCTAGCTGTGGCCTTAATCCGACCAAATGTCTTGAATGCCCTTTCAGATTCTCGAAAATGTTTCGGCTCTCTACAGACACCAATGTATTCCGACCTACTGCTCACAGTAAACTCAGCTTCAAACGTTGGAATCACCACTGACATATGTCTTCAGCGGGATTCTGACTTGCTATTTGCTATGTTCGAAAGCTACTTCGATTATACTTTCATATCCAGAAAAAGAAATGAACGTAGAGGAATCATAATCTGTACTCTACTCTCTTGTTTTATTTTCAATGGCTTTTATAGAGTAGATTTTAGAGCATCACGGAGCTGTTTACCTATTACCTTCCGTCCATCTTGGATTTCTTTTACAATATTGGTTCCTATATTCTGAGCTTCAGAATAGTGTATGGAATGGTTTTTTCACACGAAATCACCCTAGAACCTTGCACTTTTTACACAGTGACCGAAGTTATCATGGCCATTATCCCTTTGCAAGATCGCACGAAACCATAGAATGTTTAACTACACACAAATGTTCGAAAGTCTCATACGTCAAAAGGCCATTGAAGCGCAACATTCTTTTAAATTATTCATTCTTCTACACCAAAGTACGATCACCGAGTGATAACAGACATCATAACTCATAAAAGTACAGGGCTGGATTGAAGTAATGATAAATTATAAACCGTTTGGTTGAACTGGTTTCGTAACGTGGGCATTCAGTTTTAAATTAATCCTCCCACCAACAGTTGATTACGTCATACCATTTGGTTATAGTAATCTCAGGGTGTGCATAATACACTTTATTTTTTGCATTCGGGGCAGCGGATCCAAATAGCACGCGTGTCTTGTTGATGTGACAATGTACTCACCACCTGATCTATTATTAGTAAACATTTTAATTACAAAGTTGGAAAACCATTAACTGAAGTAGGAAGTCTTTAGGCTGGATGTTTATTGATTTCCTGTTTTAATGATATGCCACCGTAATCAATGAAAGTATGAACATTACACAACTGTTGTCGAAATCCAACGAGGCACACATGTGGAAACAGTTTGCGGTGGAGGCCAAAAAGATGAAAATTATGTTTTCTTTTATGTGCTACTTTCGCAAAGTGAAGATGGACGTACTGCGGGAAACGTTCACAGAAAGCGCAGTCGGACTGGGAAATATGTAAACCTCCACAGTTTGGTACCAGTCCACCGAAAATTAATCGGAGTATGCTGTCTAGCATAGGGAACTAGAATGACCAATTCCAGCGGATCATATGTAGATGAAATGAAGCATATACAAAGCGAGAAAATTGAGTCCCTGACAGGTTCATCGCAGACTATATGGAGACCAAACCATAACACCTTCCCTGCCTCCACATTTTGTACGCGACGTTGTCAAATACTAATCAAAAACGACCCTCGAAAGCATTACCGCCTACGGTTGTTTCAGTTATTCATGCAGTCGAACTCAAAATATTCTGCGCATTTTATCCATTCATTGCACGATGGCTTAAATGTCGACTACCACTGTCAACCACCTTTGTATATCGATCAGTTAACCTCATAGTGCAGCGCTTGGCAACGGTTATGTCAGTAGGCAATGGGCTGATAAACATAACTCGGTTTCACAAAAAGAGTGAGCCATAGGTCAATTGTGGAGCATGTGATCAACACGGTATTTGGTAGATGTCAGAAGGTCATTCTAGGTTGTCTACAGGACTCCAGTGAATGCAACGTACTGGCAAAGTGGTAGGCATCGAGATCTACTACCCAAAGTTGTACAAACACAAATGAGTTTTCCACACCCTAGTTTTACTATGACCAGCTAGCATGGTGTAATCAATTGTTCGTCGAGTGTAGGAATCAAAACTGATGGGTCAATTTAAGTGATAAATTGGCTCAACTGGTTTAATCTTTATAACTGCTTCATTCTAATCGAGTATTTTTGTGAGTCGTGACTTTTCTTATTACAATGTGACCGTATATTATCATTGATGATTGAGAACGAATATTTGAGAAGATTTGAGAAGATCATAGATAAAAAAGAACCTGGTTCGTTACCTATTGGATGGGTTTAGCAAGATCTGCAGTGAGGGCGCGCCAGAGGAACAGTAACTTATTTTGAGGTCGATCTTCGCATTTAATGGGAATCCGGCGCCTTTAGTCGACCAAATGATTCAGTGCACTGAGACCCATTTTACACAAATTTGTTAAGGAAAGTTCGGCTGACACTTGCTTGCCGTTCAAGGGGACATATCAGCTGAGATCATAAAAAGGTTATTCAACTCAACCAATAAGACGTTCAACGCATCAAAGCTTCATGTGTTGCTCAGGTTCAACCCAAATGAATTTGTGATTGAAGGACGAAGTGCCCAACTTTTCAATCTCAGTTAATGTGAACCTAACGATTTAGTCCTGTCTAGATCCCGACTAATCTCGATGGTTGAATGAGCGAACAAGCAATCCGGTGATCGTTGTGAATCCGACTTCCGGTCTCCTAATGAACTAAATCCTAACTGCCGACATATATTTATGTACTATGAGTAGGAACTACTGAGAACGTGCTTTTCGTCGCTGTTTTGTTCGAAATATGCTCTGATTATCCAGACAACAATGGGAGAATATTCCCCCAGTTCTATCTTTGACACATTTTACAAAATATACAGTTGATTGAATGTACCACTGTTAGATCATTCCAAGTATAGCTATTTTTGTGCTTTGTACCAACCTGTTGACTGTTGTATACTTTGACTTAAATATTTGCACATTCTGGCAGTAGCCTAAACAATGCAATGCAATGTAGCCTATGTTATAAGTATTACTTTGAAACTTTTATTAACCATTCAAACCGGCATTATTTCCTTTACAAATAATATTGGCAACTATGGTAAAATAGCTTTTAAATATGCATCCATTTGTTTGAATGTTAAGGTACCCGTCACGTCAGATATGCATGCTAAGCAATTTTTTGTCAGTCTGACGTTTAAACGAATGAAGACGACTAAAAATTATAATGTATGCATAAATTATGATCTACCTGTTTTAAAGGTGTACTCTTTATTTTACATATAATTTGCACGGTTTGTTTTAACTGCCAGTCGTATACCAAACTGATTGAGAATATGAAGCAAAAATTCGTTTGGTCCGCGGGTTATGGTGGCCAAAAGGTCATATGTTTTGAAACTTGAACTCTACCCCTTTGAGGAGAATTCACTGATATGCAGCTTTGTTCTCGCCCAACTCAGTACCACACATGTCCCAAGGTGTCCTCATGTATTTCACAGCTTTATGTCCCAGGGCTTAGGCTACCGGTAAACACGAGTTAACGTTTGGTCTACATGACATATAGTGGCACGTATTGGAAAATAAAAGTACATTCTTCTTTTCCCATTGTGCGTTTCTATACCCATTTTTCCATTTGCAAATTTCTAATGAAACTAACTGGTGATCAGCTCATTAATGTGCTTTAATAAAAAGACTATAGTTCTCGTTTGCAGATAAGTTTGGTTTCACACGTTTCGATTAATCACCAGTATATTGTGACCCTTACAGCTAGGATCATTACTTTTTCACCGCTCCCAATACAGCCGTGATTTAGCTAGTAAGCTTCGCTCAGTTATTGACATAGTCAGCTGATTCAGCATTATTGATATCGCCTGTAAATGTTTTCGTAGTTAAGTGGTGAATAGATAAGAGAAAAAGTGATATAAGAGACCTTTCGTTGGTCAAGTGATGACGTTTTGTAATACTGGCAGTTCGAAATTTAATCACAAATTGTAAACAAACGTTTCACTGACATTATCCCATCTTGACAATGTGCTGACAAAATCCATCAATGATAGCCATGCCTCTCTCAATCTTTGATGTACTGATCATGCATGGGGCTCATTATTCTAGCGGATAGATTGGCATATTTTAGCAAATCCGATTTACTTCTCGGGGTAAAAAGGAGTATGCAGTGTTTCCCATGTATCACCAAATTAAAATATGCTAGTGTTTATCAAATTGGCTTAATCCCTGATGGTACAACGTTGGCCCGTGTGCATCGACTACGCGTTACACTTACTGTTCCACAAGAAATTCACTAATTGATGTTCTGCAGCAAATTATTCAGCTTATTGAAATTATTCGGCTTGATGGAGTTTTTAATAACCTAACAACAATGACATATTTATTAAAAACCTAATTTAGTCTTATTTCAAGCATTTTGCGATTGAAAATAGTTCGAAATATGCTCTTGGTATGTTTATTTGCTCAAAAATAATAAAATTATTGTGGTCGATATTTTTAAATAAAAATATTTTTGTGATTGACTGTTGAAGTGGTAAATTTCATAGTCACATGTGTCTGCGGTTCATTGGTTCAGACACTCGAAGGTGGAATCCAGTTTCGGTACACAGGAAGAATTACGGCAAATAGAATTCACGTGACATCAATGCCATCTCAGCTATTGTTGATCAAGTGATCACAAATCCATAAGGCAGAACAGTTTTGTCTAGTAGTGTGAACCTAGCATTAATATTACATATTATCTCGGTTTGATGAATGAAATTCTATCTGCTGAAGTTTTGTTTTGTCTCACCAACTTCCATAAAGTTTCCCATGATGCTTGGAGTTAAATTTGTTTGCCCAGTTTTGTGCTTGATAAGACCAAATGTTGACCTGACCTCAGACGTATATGAAAATGGGTCGGGTCAGCTTATTTGGTGGGATATATGATTGTGTGATAATGACTGACTTTGTGGGTTAGTAACCAGTGTAATCAACTTACCTTACTCCAAGCAGTCGTATGCCAAACAGGAATAGTACTACTGCAACGCTCCATTACACAATCCAACTGAACCGGACGATCCAAATTGAAATCGGTCAATTGTTTCATTCGACTGTTTTGTAACGGTCTTTCCATTGTTTCCACCCACACTGACTGACTGTCATGAGAGAGGAAAACTCGAGGGGTGTAACCGAGTCGTTGATGACATTCCGCGAGACTGACGTGTTCCACCCAGGTACCAACGGTTTGTTCTACACTCGCATCCCGATGCATTGTAGTGGTGTCCACCGTGACGCGTTCACAGGGCACATTAGCTGAACGGACTCCGGTACCACATGTCACTGAGCACTGAAATGGCATAGTATTATGATGAGGATTCCAGAAAAGCATGACGTAATTGGGGCTGAATTTGAATACAAAACGTCATGACTCGAGGAAGGGAAGGTCTGAAAGTTAAAATCAACCGGTGGAACGAAAAAGCACCGGATTGCAACGGAACGAAAACGGTGGAATTGCAAATGCGAATCGGTTTGAAAAAAACTATTAGCTGTCAGTAGTCCGCATTCAGCAATCGATGGAAACCAAAACGTTTATGGTAATTGGATTATGATTTTCTCTTATTTATAATAAAAGCTAGGATATCATTTTTGTGAGACAAGCTCATCAAAATGTGACCACGCATGGGATATTGACAGAAGAATTTGATTGAGACTACTGAGTAGTAGGCCATTAGAAACCCAATACCTCAGATAGCGCCGATGGACGTTTGAAGATAACGTTTCGTCGGCTAACGAAAAAATGAAAAACTGAATTTTCTGCCAAAATGCATTTATTCGGCGTACGTGCAGCGGAAGAAAGACAAGTCCGTGTTGTCTCCTAGGTCACACGAAGTATTTCACTCCCTTAGTAAGCTAGCGTCAATAACTCACTTACTTTTGATAACTGGGCCATACCCCAGCGATAGCAAACAGGCCGCGTGCAAACCTGTCGGCTGTTGGGTTCCGGTTGAATGACACCGATGGAACTGACCTTTCGACATAATTCGGCTTGCATCGGCCATGTGTCCGTTGCCACGCTCGTGTGTCCTATCGCATATGGTTGTAGTGCCGCAGGTATGTTCGAACCTGAAAGTTGACAGCTCACTTGGCGTTGACGCATACCAACGAGGGGCTTTCTTTGCGATTCCGGTTGTTCAATCGATCGACACACTGATTGCATTTCATCGTTTAAGGGTTCACATTCGGACCAAGAAGAAGTGGACCACTGAATATGAGATGCGCATTCACTAGTGAATGCGAAACACTGTTCCGATTGATCCAGTCGAAGTTTACTGCCCAACTGACTGACGGTTTGTTGACTACTACCAGTCAGAACTGCCAGAGTTGCTTCAGCCTCTTGAATTGAGATTGCCCCACTCGGTGATTTCGTGTGAGTAGGCAATTCTGCCGATTGAATGCACTCGTTTAGCGGCCATTCCCGCCCTGCGGTGTCGTGACAACGTATCTGACGAAAACGTTCACCTTGGCCACATCCGGAGGAGCACTTGTTGAGGAGGTGAAGGAATGTATTTGAAATCTTGTTGTTTACTCAAAAATTAGTTAGCATTTTATACGACAAGTGATATTTGCTCCGATGTACATCACAAAGTAGCATGCGTAGCGGCAATGTAATACATATTCGTAACAAGTTAAAATGTGCCAGAGAACAGATATTTTAACTCTACACAGTATCACAAATCTATCAGTGAACAATATATGTCGAACACACCTCAGTCCAATTCGAAGCAATCCAGAACACTGGCTCACATGTCCCCTCGCATGCGACGTAAGATGGTTGCGCAGGGGTCGCACCCAAACCGGCTTTCACACATACCCGTTCACCTAATTGTGCCGGACGCCAGATTCCTTTGGTTTTATCTGGCTCCTCCGCAGGCACAATATATTCTTCACAAACATGCATCACGGCTTGCTGTCCCAACCCGCATCTTGCAGAACACGCTTTCCATGTATTTCTTTGAGATGAGTCGTCCACATTATCCGTAACCGGTTTCGTTTTCCATCGGACACCACAATAGTCAGCACAACGACGTACCACTGGTGGTGGGCGTGGTAACGGAGCACACAGATAGTCCGCCACCGGGCGATAGAAGTCGTAGTCAGAAAACTTCTGCCGTTCAGTGGCATCGTGCACCATTGGATAGCACTCAGCATATGATGTGGAGTTGCCTGGTTTAGGAATAAAAGTGAAGAGGCTTAAGTGCATGCAAATAAATTGGCATTGGATTACGTTCCAGTACATGTTATGTAGTTATCACTGAGTGGTCCTTTTAGTATTGCTTTATCTTTTTTAATCACGTCTTTAATTGACATGAGGTTTAACTTCGAAACAAGAAAATAGTAATACATTTTATGTGTTGTGATACAACGAATCGTGCTTTTCATAGGGTATGCTGTTCTATGCAGATTCTCAAAAGGGATCTTGCTTTATCATTTTGATTAAACTCAGACTGATGGATTGAGAGATATGATCGTATACTGACCTGCACATGTGCGACAACCGCTGGGAAGTTCACTGATTCTCCAAACAAAGTGTACTCGAGGTCTACTTTGCTTAGTCTCAGACTGTTTTGGCGTTTCAAACCGGGTCACCGGGGCTGAGTTTTGATGCATAGCGTTCTCCTGCATTGTGGATGCCGGATGAGAACGACCGGCTCTGCGATTGGCCTGTTGTGATGCTAGGCGTGCCTCTTCCTCCGCGATGAAATACAATGGACTGTGTCGTTGAGATTTGTCCACATAATAATGATATTCTACGGTCGGTGGCGGTCTCGAAGTTTCTGTGTTTTCTAATTTAATCTGAAAATAAACGACGATAAGTTATGAAAAAGGGATGCTATGACGGACCACAGTGGACAGTTGAATTAGTCTTATTGTGTCTAATCAACGAGGGCTTCATTTTTATCGCTTAATGATCCTGAAACTTAGTGATCCACGTGATCTCGCAAACATAACCGCGTTGAGAATATGTGAAATATTACCAGTCAAAAATATTAAGCCTTTTGCTTATCCGGTATGGGAACTCCATTCTAATTAAACTCTTATTTATTGACCAATAATCAGAGAAACCGTACGTGAGCAATCAGTTAATTACTACGTTGCATGATTTATTCTTTCACAATGGTCGGTTACCAATAGTACCCATTCCCAAGAGCATGCATTTTACCGATTGCTGAAAGTCTGTGACAAGAAACATACCCTTTCATCTCCATGTTTTTATGCAAGAGCCAAGTAAACGTACAAACATGATGTATAAGTGATATTCAGAAATCGGGTGAGTAGCAGACCTGAAATTGAAAAGTGGTTCACTGCAGAATGGCTTAGAGGATTTGGTTGATTTTTGTGGTGCATTCCAAGTGCACAATCCACTAACTACTGGAAGGCTTTCGAACCAATGCAAAGCTATTTTATCCTTCTTAGAGTAGTGATGTATTGTGTTTGGGTAAAAATTTTAGCAGATACAATTGATTTCTGGCACGGATGCAGCACCATCTAAGGTTGTTCGCCAAAAACATCTAGCAACAGCTGAGGCAGTAGCCATTCGTCTGTTTAACCCATCGCTTTGTTCCCAAAAGCGATTCGTCAAGGCACTTCAACCACCGTGGTCACGGAGTGAATTCAGTTGCATGGCTGTAGTTGACTCTTTCCATGACCCGTTGACCCTTGCGATTGACCCCGTACCCGAAACCGGTGATGGTTAACCCTGACTCGGTCCTAATCCCTCTTGTGACACGTCCCTTTCCCATCTACCCCCCACTCCATTTTTTGTTTGTAAACCACACATAAACAACAAATTATATCTACCAATCCAATCCACACGCACACACACAGGTCAAACGTTATGCAAATGTGATATGTCTTATATAACTGTATTAGCCTATGAAGTACTTCAAAATTTTCTGAAGGGTTTGGTGTGTTAATTCTGAAAAATGCCATAGCTCATGGCTTTCAGACAATTTAAGTCGGGTTCAACTATCCTCAAGATTTTTGCTAGAAAAGGAAAAGGGAATAGCTTGAACGGCTTTCAAATGAATAAAAACACTTATTTGATGCTTTGCTTTCATTATTGGATCCTTATCATGTTAGGATAATGCTTACAATGCATTGTGTGGATTATTCGCGATGCGTTTATAGCCATAATAAAATTTGGACGAAATACAGCCACACATCCATTCAGAATTAAGCCAGGATAGGAATATAATAGACGAAAATACTATCACATTGTACCAACTGGAATGCTTAAATAAGTTTAGTAGAGCTATTTGGACTGGATCATGTTTTGATAAATTGTATTTGTCGGGCAGAAAAATGGTCCACTCACCATCAGGAGACCTTGATGCTATGTACGACTTTCATTCGCTTTAGGAATCATCAGTAGTGCATATCCACCGAAAACGGTGAGTTTCGAACCCTAACACGAGGAGTTGGTAATTTAACTGCACTCTAACTGCCAAATGCACTTGAATAAACGAACAGATTCTCTCAAACAGCCTAAAATTAACAACTTATGTCCGTTAGATTCCGGTTTTCAGGTCAGTCGTAGTTCAATCCTGGTGAAAAGTTGTAGTTCAGTGGGTCAGCCATTGCCTATTACGTTCCTTTACTTAAAATTGCAACGGTGAATGTGAGATATGTCACGTGATGCTGACATAAAGCAAGCCACCAAGTACCAGCCGAATCGATTACGTGAATAACACTTTTCATAAGTGAATAACATTAAATGTGCCAGTCAAATGCCCTTCAATTAACCAAAGGAATATCCCAGACAGTACTACATTCAAGTGCCAAAGCCTAGATATGTCACTACATATTTGGTCGAAGAAAAATGAAAGTTTGGAAAACGTGATGGATTAGGATTGGTAGAAAGTTTTGAGTGATTTTCGCCATCTTTACACTGATTGGCTAATAGACGGTGGAAACATGAGTATTGAAGATACATTTACGTATCGCGATTCAGACTCATTCGCCCTTACTTCCTTATTTTTGTTTTCGTATTTAGCTAGAACCACGTATTCGGTGGCTTGGACTTGCTGCAGCTAGCAACGAATCAAAAGAGGTCGATATGGCAAACTGTCTTTGTCTAATTGTAACTGATTTCCGATTTGACATGGTTATCAAGCCATATAAAAGATGCAGAAACTGTGATATATATGCATATATATTCATTAATCACAATATTGGCATATCCATATATGTACCTATAAATGCAAGCTACGGGGACTTGTGCGAAGCTGATTACGTTTGGATAAAAATAGTATATATCCACAATTTAGGGCCAGAGGTATCGATATACTGTTTAGCTAAGTAATGCCCTCGTTTATGGGGAACACAAATGATGTCTGTCGAGAACTGCGGTTGTAACACTGTTACCACACTTATTTTGCATGCTGGTGACAATAAGTGTACGACGGTTATTCCTTTGACCAACACAATGTGAAAAATATATTGCGTTTTGTATACACACCCGTGATTTAAAGATCGTCACCTATCTGACCCACTGGTTGATATCCATGAGCACAGGCGCATTTGTGAAGCACACAAACATATTAGTGAATTTATTGGTTGAGCATTGTAGGCTTGTGTGTGTATGTGTGGTGCACACCTGAAACACAACAGATATATGTGATGAACGAAATGCAAATTTAAATCCAGCCTAACAGTTTTAATTCAGACCGCTTGCCTAAACCTGCATCAGAGAATCGATTTATTGGGAGGCTTTGACCGAGTTTATGAGCTATCATGTTGTCTCCTTTCATTGCAAAGGCCAAAATGGATTCACCGTAGTAATAATATCACAAAGTCAAACAAAACTCTAAACGTTTAATTCGGTTATTCCTGACGTGAGATGGTCGGAATAGTGATTACCCAAATACCCTTTGTGTTAACGGCTCGAAGTTCACTCCCATTCCTTTACTAGTCCTGAATGTCTCTCTCCTACTTTAGGGTCAGCAGATGGCTTCATGGAAAAGAATAACAAGTGGCGTCCTAAATATCATTACGTCTTCGGCTTTGAAAACGGACCCGCTCTCACCGCTATACATATAGTTACTACCTGCAATGAAGCACGGAGATGAAAATGTTTTACCCTAACAAGTGATCAGATTTGAATATATAAAAATGCTTTCTACCGATATTCGTGGATGTTTGTCACGGAAAAAGCTTGTCAGGCAAACCCTGAGCATGACTGATGATCACTACTGATCAACAACTCAATGAATCAACGTCCAATCTTCACGGTTATTCACTGAAATGATTTGTTCATATCAGCAACTGAGTGATGTGCTCGACAACAGACAGCGGAGTTGCTCTTAGGCTGCTGGTAATCTTCTACATCCAGGGAAGTAAAATTCCGATGGCTCGGTGGACATGGGCAATCGCTGCTCACCGATGACAGCAAATCCTAGTCTGAGTGCCTTCGAATGTTGTTACCCGGGATAAAAAGTGTTTGGCATATGGATAAAGTTCCAGGTTTAAAACGATGGTTACATATCGCTAAAGGTAATCGTTGGATGAGAAATATACCTGTTCTACATATTCGAAAATAGTACATGCAAAACATTTCATTGCGTACCATTATATTCACATCTTTTTGTAGTCTTCCAGTGATAGAAACAATCTCTTCCGCGCCTCGAGTTCCACTATAGTAGAGCTCAGCTCCGACAAATGGCTCACGAGTTTCTCCACGACGAATTTGAGTTTTCAACTCCTCGAATATGACTGATGAAGGTACAAAATGAATATCAGTGCAAATATCTTCAACACCCGTTTGATAGAAACAATTTCTCGAGATTTTGCAAAAAATTGATATATCTTTAGGAGACACTTGAACGGAAACCAAAACCCTATGAACGTTTTCAGGAAATATATTTGTTTGTTTTTCCAGTAAGGATACTGAAATATCCTCAGTGAACTTTACGCTTACTGGCAAAAGTCTAAAGAGCGTGTTTTAAATACAGCTCTAACGTTCACAGATGAAGTGAATAAGTTGGACAATTAAGCCCTACTGGAAATGTGCCATAATAGTCCCGATATTTAGCTGTATGCTGCAGGCATGCATTCTTTGCGGCTCTAACATCTGACGGGACAGACATCGTGGGAGTAAGCCTTCGTTTGTGGTCAACTTAGGGGAAAAGAAATGATGAATAATTTCGATGAATATCCTCATAGCCACATTATTAGGGGAACATAACAGCCAATAAAACGTTTTTGATAACTCTTCCTTCGTAACGGTATAGCTAGATGTCGAGTTGTAAAGGTCCAGGTGGGGTAAAGATATAACGTGATGAATATGACTGGCCAATTGAGATGTTCTACGGCTGGGAAACAGAGTATGATTGTTCTACCATGAAATTGGATTGAATAGGCTGCTTCATCCCCGTTCTGCCACACCGGGCCATTCCAAATGTCACAATCGTTTCGGTTAACTATGCAAGGCCGAGGCTAGGGCAAATGAACTGTGTTAGGCGTGAAAGAATGGGCTGGGTAGAAGGACAGATAATGCGGTCGACCATAAATCCCTCCCGGTGAGACGCTATGTGCACCGTTTACAAACCAACAGTTAATTCCTGTTAATGTGGAAGACTAAGTGCCTATCCTATATTCATTTGTGATAACCTTCTAACTTTCTTGTTCCTGTACCGTATTTAACGTGAGAACAACGATCTGGCAACTACTGCAAGTAATTAGGGAGTGCAAACTGGTCTGGTCCAGCTCGGAGACGAGAAAAGCAGTTACAAGTTCAGTGGTTAAACATCTCACGGACACGAAACATCAATCGCCCAAATCCAAGGTCAAACTGATCAAACTGATCATTCAGCTAGTTCAATTTAGCCTCAACCGTACATAGCTAACTGAAACGACTAACACCTTTGACATAACCCAGTGAATCAAACTGGAAACAAAGGAGCACATTCAATAGGTCGAATGTGCATATTTCCCAACTGCACAACAAAATGCTATCTTCCTTCAATTTCCACAGCACGCATAGCAAGATCTCAATCAGTTAAACATATTCAGCACATCATACTGTTACAGTAACTTATTAGTTTAAATGCAATATCCAGAGTGTTTTTCTATCTCCACGAAAGGAATGATGCAGGTGACTCTTAGGAATTTCCTAGACAGGTTTAATAAAAGCTTTTCTCAAAGTGGACTGAAATCTCAATCGCAAAGCGATCTTTGACGCACCGTACGTATTAGTCACATCGGACAATGACTAACTGATACAAGTATTATAAGACTGTGGGCGGTAATGTGATGAAACGATGAATACACTGGGTCACTTTTATAGAACATGTACGTCTTTAGACAACGACATCAAATTCGGGATTCTCAATGGAAAAGTGAAATAAAGAAAACGTCGATCAAACTAATGTGGAATAGAAATAATCGGGGTTATATTATACAGGGTTTTGTTTAAAAAATGTGGAAATTCGAACCGGACCTTATGATAAGGTAAAATATTTTCACTTAGAAATTCCAGGATTATGCTTGAAAACAGTACCTTTTTTCTTTC